GAATGCTAAACTGCCTAAGAAAAAACAGTATTTATAAAAAACCCCCTACTTTCTGTGTTGATTTATTTCTATAAATATAGTTTAAATGCCTACTCCTCACAAAAAATTCAAACTACTTTCTGTGTTGATTTATTTCTATTAAATATAGTTTAAATGCCTACTCCTCACAAAAAATTCAAATACCTTCTCCAGGTTTTGAAGTGCAAAGCTATACTCTGTAACCAGTTTATGACACTCAGACCAGCAGTCTACCATCACACCCATGGTGAAAACCTCCCTCAAAGCTGGCCCTGAGAACAGCCAATGTACCACACAGCTGTTGTTGCTTTGTTGAATTTGGACCTCATTCTGTAATTCAATTTGTAATACATTACTGATAATTTTGATGTACAGTAAAAGGATAGGAACAATCACAAAATTGAACCAAACTGCTTTTGTTTGTTCTTCTTTTTTGTTTAAGAAAATTAAATTCAAGCTCTTCTACTTAAACAATAAGCTCATGTTCCTTTTCTGTATTTTTTTTTCTGCATTATTAAAACATTTTTTATTAATGTTCAAATAAGAAACTTGAATCTGAGGATTTATGTATATTTCTCTCTTGCAGTGAGGGCTCATTGATTGCAACATGATTGCCAAGGAGTGTTAATGCTGGCACGGGCTGTGCTTTGCTGCCCAACACTCACTGACAGTATTTTATCAAATAAATAGGTGGGAAAAGAACTGTAAATAAACAGGGACTGTGTTACTTTTCTTGCCTATTAAAATATTGTTATAAAGTATTTTACCAGAAATGCCACAAAACAATTTAAGAATATTTTTCTAGATATGGTTGTTAATACACTAAACATCGTAATTCATGTTCTGTTCTACTGTAAATTTGCAAAAGACACCTTATACAGTAAATTTTGAATCTATATTAGTACTCTTCTTTATTTCCAGTACTTTCATGGATTATTTTTCATTAAGTAAAATACTGTTTTAACCTGCACAAAAAGGATATATGAATAGTGAAGATTAACATGTGAAGATTAGTGAAGATTAACATGTAAGTGAAAAAGAATTTTTTCTTTATCCATTTATGTAAAAAGTCAATGTCTGTCAGTGGGTCATTTATACATTCACAAAGGTTTGAAGCCTGCTCTTCAAAATTTTCTTCATATTTTGCTTGACTGATGCTTTTGCAAATGAACAAATATGGCTAGAGGGAGCAAATGAGCTAAAAATCAAAATCTTAGAATTTTTTATTTTTATGCACAAAGCAAGCCAGTCAAAAGAAAAGCATGGCTATTCCATTGCTCTGTTCAATAGGCCTATGACTAGATTTAATCAGCTAAACCCATTTCAATGCCCTGCTGTTCACCTGGGCAGGGTCTCTACACCTGTCAGAGCTCACAGCTTCGTATCCACACTTTGGGCATCTCAGGCTGCCAGCAGGAATGTCATTGGCACAGCAAAGACCTAAATTTAAGTGTCTGCCTAAGAGCTTGGGGAGTAAGCTTCGGCCACAGGCAATAAGGCAAATGAAACTTGACTCAGTTGCTCAAGAACACACGGTTCAGTGCCAGAAGTGAGGAATGAAACACATCTCACACGGGGCTGAAGGAAACCTGTCCCTTTCTGCAACCAGAGGCGGGGCCAGCTCGAGTATCTTCAGACATCTCCACTGAACAGAAGGACAGATCAGATGTTTGGGAAGACCCTCCCACGAGACACCTAAATGTATGTTTCTTCATCTCTGAGCTGATTCTCAACCCAAAACAACAAATTTTACTGTTATATAAAGTATCAGGGAGCCTTCTGTAATGAAAATAAGAAATGTTGCACTATAATGTTTTCTGATTAAAAAAAAAAGTAATTACATGAAGAAAATTGTAATTTGCATTCGGGGAATAAATGATAAAAATGAGCCCAAAGTAACATATATTGCCAAGTCATTTGTATCAATGACATCTTTTTAATGCTTGTTGTAAGCATTGCTCCATTGCATCACTCCTGGGGATGATAAAAAAAGAAAACTGTAACTCATTAAATGGAAGATCCGAATATACAAAATTGAGCACATATCTCATTAGTCCCATGCAAGGAAAGCATGACACCTGACCCTCAATATAAATATATACTGGCATACAAAGTGTTCTTTGTTAAACTAAAGACTCCCCCTCCAAATCTTCAGTACTGCATATTTAGAAGATACTTGGACTCACTATTTGACAGGGAGAGAATATTTATGCAGGAAGAATATTCAGCTTTCTCAAAAAATAACTAACTTAGGAACACACTCAAGTATCTGCCAGATGGTAACTAGTCAGAATCTGCAAATGAGACCCACACATATGTATTAATACATATTAAGACATCAAAATGTAAGCTCAGTAAGTGGCCAAAACTTGTTTAAAAATCCTAATTCAACGCCCTACAAAGTGTTTTTTGAGGAAAATAATTGAAATATCAGCACTTTAGCTGAAAAGGTGAAGGGTTAAAGGAAATACATTCTGCTTGCCCTTGGCTCAGATGAGCAAAATACGCTGGAGTCTTTCAGGGATTAGAGGTAGAATGAGAATACTGCTCCTAAAAATGGTACCAAGAGCACTTCAGTTTGTATCTCTGTATGCCACTCAGAACTAAAAAGAAAGACTTATTCTTTCTAGGAATTTTGTGTGCATAATTATTTTATAACTCTAGACAACTTCCTATGAAATTTCTTACAGTAAAGGGACAGCTGGAAAGCCCTCATTTTGGAGGCACACATCTCCCTCTGCAGGTCTCTAGAGGCACAAATTCCTAAGGCACTTAGGCTGAGCAGACTGCACTGTGCCTCCTTTAGGACTGCATCCTCCCTCCCAAGTCTAAGCTTTACATTTCAGAGACACACTGCTTACAATACACATAACTGCACACGACAAGAGTAGATTGTAGTATTTGGATCTTCTTTCCAATTTTCTTTTGTATGTGATTTGCCAAAGCATTGCACTATTTAATTTATTCTCCTTACATGTTTGAGATCAGCTAAGTCAAATTTGTAGCACACACTGGGCAAGTATCAATGGAACTGCCAGGCCTGTGTTTATTTCCATGCCTTTAAGCACTACTCCAAACTTTCAGAATTTTCACTTATCTTTTTTGTACCTAGTCTCACTAATTCCTGTGTAGTTTGCTCTGATTCAGATAGCCAAGCAATCCAGTCTCTAATCAAGGTATTAATACTTGCATATTAATCTATTTTGAAAGGACAAATCTACATAATTTATCTGAAATAGGTATATGAAAAAGAAAAGCCAGAACAGATTCCTTAAGGGTCACACAATACAGAAATGACAGTGACAGAAGTATTTTTCATAGCGTAAGAAAAACTCTGTTATGATACCTTCCTAATTTATGTTGACTAAAACTTGCATAGCAATAGGTAACTCCTTTATTCTGGTATTTCTTTGATAACTTTATGTAGCGTGATCAGTGCTGTAATACCCTATTTTTAAGTCACCTGAATGCAAGGGATACAAAACCTAGATTAAAAAAAAAAAACCCACCTGCAATATTAGAGTAATTGCATTATTAACTGCATTCTGTTAGAAATGGAAATTCAGAGGCAGTGCCTGTATTACTAATTTCAATTGAATTACTTTTTTAAGACAGACGGGGGTACTGGGTTTGCATGGCCAGGTTTTGGTAGCGGGGGGCTTTGGGGGGCAGCTGTGGGGAGCTGCCAGAGGCCTCCTCCTTGTCCCATGGAGCCAATTCCAGCTGGCTTCAGGACTGACCCGACGCTGGCCAGGGCTGAGCCCATCAGAAATGTTACCAGTGCCTCTCTTACCTGGTAAGAGAAAGAAGAAAAAAAGTTATTGTGTAAATGTGATTGTACTCGGAGAAATGTGAGAGTATGTGAGAGGAACACCTCTGCAGACACCAAGGTCAGCGAAGACTGAGGGTGGTGAGGTTGGAGAAATGTGAGAGTATGTGAGAGCAACACCTCTGCAGACACCAAGGTCAGCGAAGACTGAGGGTGGTGAGGTGCTCCAGCCTGAGTGGAGATTCCCCTGCAGCCCATGGAGGCACACAGGGATGCAGAGATTCCCCTGCAGCCAGGGAGGCACACAGGGATGCAGAGATTCCCCTGCAGCCCATGGAGGCACACAGGGATGCAGAGATTCCCCTGCAGCCATGGAGGCACACAGGGATGCAAAGATTCCCCTGCAGCCCCTGGAGGAGCCCCCGCCGGCGCAGGTGGATGCCTGAAGAAGCTGTGACCAGAGTCAGGAAGAAGAAGGCCCGGTCCCGTTACCGGCGCCCCCGGTGTCACGGGCGCGGCCCCGCAGCGGGCCCCGCGCGCAGCCCGGAAGTGACGCGGCCCCGCTGCGGGCGGCGCTGGCTCGGGCC